CATTAGCTTTCGTGCTCCTCTGATGCTGCTTGGCCTGCTGTGTTCATCCAGCTCTACACCTTGTTATCTCTAAACTTTTATATATTGTTTTTCACCTCACAAACCAATTGTAAACCAAACATGTTATTGATTGATTATATACTCATCCAATCATGTTAATCATGCGACTGCATTATCTGTTGATGGACAGTTATAGGTCTTGCCAAGATCTCATGATGTTTACCAGACATCCTTATCACCTATCCTTGGGTTTTTCACAATGCATCCTATTCAACCACATTCCAATACTGCTGACTTCAGCACCTGTTATTCAATCCTCTCTGCCAACAGGCTGGTGGCTTGTCCCAACTGTCTGTGCACAGGAATTCAATTAAATCCAGTAATGTCTGTTACATTTGAAACTCCATTATTTATATATGTACATGTATGTAATATTAGTCAAGCTTTTCCCATTCTATCCCATATTAAATAGTAAACTTTGAATTAGCTTGCAAGGGGGGCTTCTCTCTGTGCTTCTAAGGATGTCCCTTATCAAAATATCTCTGTGTAAGCAGTGGCTACATTTTTGCTTCTTAATAAGATCCCATTGTGTGATTTTTAATGCAATGCTCTATATTTTATCTGGTTGCTATGTGTATGAAGGCCACAATTCTGACTGTGTAAACGACTGCTTCAGCAAACTGTCTTCTTCAGCCATTTTTTTGTCAACTAAAATATATGGTATTTTATGTTAATTAAGAACAATGGGCAGTCCTAACACTTATAAAGGGAAGGGAAGAATAAGACTGTCAATATGAGGCAAATGTTTACGCCTGGCGAGGAATGTGAAGTGGCCATTATAAACTTTCAAAATGACAGTAGTATACTTATTTAAAATTATTCCTCCCAGTTTTTCTTTTGTTTTTGACCTAACACCTAGAATTGAACACAATACTATAATTCGTGTTGAACAAGTGTTTTATAAAGGTTCACCATAACTTCCTTACTTTTTCATTCAATGTTGTGATTTATGAAGCTCAGGATCCCTCATTTATGCCTCAATAACCAGTATCTTAAACTGCCCTGCCATCTTCAACCAACTGTTCATTTATATCTACTAGTTCTCTGCTTCTTTAGACTTCTTTCAATATTTTGTATTACCTCCTGTCATTCTTCCTACAAAAACATATAACTTCAAATTTCTCTGCATGAATTTACATCTGCAATGTATCATTTTGAAGTCGATTGCTTCCCTCCTCACAATTCACAATGCTTGCAACTATTTTTGTTACCTACAAAGGTTGAAATGTCGCCTGTACACATGAGTCTGGATGAATATAAATCAAGAATTGGTCTGATACGGAGTCATCTGAACCACCCTATAATATTTTCTGCAGTCCAAAAGACAACTGTTCAACATGACACTGTTTCCTGTCACTCAGCCATCTTTGCATCTAGAGAAAATACAGGAGAAACCCAGCAGATCAGAAAGCATCTGTAGAGAGAGAAACAAAGTCAGCATTTCAAGACCTTTGTGACTTTTCTTCAGAACTGAGAAGTTTTTCCATAAATAAGATTGGCCATTGGTTACTGGATTTACCATAGACCCTTTTCAGAACAATATGTAACATTTACAATTCTCCTTCCCTCTGGCACTGGCCATCTGTCTGAGGAGGATTGGAATATTATGCTCAGAGCCTCCAAATATTCCTCCCTATTGTTTATTCCATTGAGTGAGCCGAACATACTCTCAGCTTTAGGCATAAGACGTAAGAGAAGATGTAGACCATTTAGCCCATTGAGTCTGCTCTACTATTTAATGAAATCCTCAATTCCACATTTCTGTCTTTTCCCCAATTCTTCTTTCAAGCATATGATCTCTTTCCAGTTTTCACCAAATATGTTAGAATGTACTCAGTTTCTTTACAACAACTTCAATCACATATTTATATAATATCATTAAAAAAATAGGACCAAGAAGAGACCATTCACACCTTTGAAATTGTTCTGCTATCAAATAAAAACATGACTAATTTGATTCTGCCTGCCCCCTGTAATCTTTGACTTCCTTATCAAGTTGTTGGGTGTAATTTCTTCTGCACCCATTCCCACTCAAAATCTAAGTTGGCTATTGCTTAAAAACAAAGGGGATGTGATTTCTGCATGTTGTACACAGAGTTGGTTACAATTCCTAGTTCACTATTTCTGGAAAAATCATAATTGTGGTCAAAAAGTTTTCAGAAGGAAATCTTCTGACTGTGTTTACAGTTTGACTACAACTGACAGCAGAGACAGTTATCCACATTGAGTAGAGTCCAGAATGAGCTAATGTAGTATTATAGCCAGTGGAACTTCAGTGGTGTTTAAGGAGGTTTTTTTTTTGCTCTATCTTTTGAAAAATCCTAATTGTACATCAAGGCTGAGGTTCTACCAAAGGGTGCTTAATGTTGCCCTGCAGGATGAAGATGGAAAAGGATTATCAGATGAAGAAATTCGAGCGGAGGTGGACACGTTTATGTTTGAAGGTCATGACACCACAGCAACTGGAATCTCCTGGCTCTTGTACTGTCTGGCCCAACATCCAGAACACCAACAAAAGTGTAGGGAAGAAATCCAGGAGCTTCTGGAGGGTCATGAACAAATAGAGTGGTGAGTTTTAATCCAATCATGCTTTTATTTGTTGTAACATGATACAGAATCCACTGCAATTCATCAGGCTTGGAAGTCATTGTGTCAGAATGATTCTGCAGAATTTTTCTTGGCCAGTAAACTGCTGCTGTGGATAGATTTGGCTCCAGATTAATTTCCAGTATTCAGTACTAACACTTCTCACTTGCAAAACACAGACTACATAACTATTGCTGCTTTAATACTCAGCAATTTTGTAGCTGTCTGTGCTGCTGAAACCAATTGCACCACTGAACAACTGCTTTCACTTTTCTGACTTTATTTTGTTCTATTTTTCAATGATAAATACAGCTGGTGCGGTTTTTCAAATGAAACCAAAGCCTCGTCATCTTTCATAGGTCGATGAAAAGAACCCATTATATTAATTTTAAAGAGTAAGAAATCTGTCCATTGTGTCCTGATATTATTATTTGTTACTGAAAGATTGCTACCAGAACAACAGGTTATCAGGACCTTATCACGTTACTATTTATACAAATTTGCTTCCTTTATTCATAAATGGGATGTGAGGATTACTGACTAGGTCAGTGTATATTGACCATCCCTAAATTGCCCTTCAGGTGACAATGCTGACAGCTGCCTCCTTGAACCACTGCAGGTACACCCACAGTGCTGTTAGGAAGAGAGTTCCAGGATTTTAACCCAGCAAGAGTGAAAAAAATGGGAACATATTTTGAAATCATTGTGTGTGCCTTGGAGGGGAACTTTCAGATGGTGGTGATCCCATTCATCTGCTTCCTTTGATATTCAAGTTGGTGGAGATCATGGGTTTAGAAGGTATTGTTGAATGAGCGTTGGTGAATTGCTCCAGTCGATCATGTAGATGGTATACATATTTGCTGCTGTACACCAGTGGTTGTGGGAATGATTATTTAAGATGGTGATGGGGGAATCAAAATCAAATGGACTCCTTTCTCCTGGATGGTATTGATCATCACACATATTGTTGGAGTTGTCTTCATCCAAGAAAGTGTAGAGTATTCCATCACACTACTGACTTCTGACTTGTAGATGGTTGATGCACCTTGGGGGAATGAAGAGTTCCAAGCCTCTTACCTGTGCTTGTAGTCAAAGTATTTAAATGCTGCTCCAGTTTAATTTCTACTCAATGCTAAGTCCCAGAATGGTGCCAGTGGGATTTCAGGAGTGAACGTCATGGGGAGATGGCAATGTTTTGTTTGTTTTGGAGATGACCATTGTCTAGCATTGTGTAGCACGAATGTTACTTGCCACTTTCAGCCCAAGCCTGGGTGTCATCCGGGTCATACTGCATATGAACAAGTGCTACTTCACTGACTGAGTAGTTGCAAATGGTGCTGAACATTAAACAATTGTTAATGAACATCTCCACTTCTGACTTTATGATGGAGGGAATGTCGTTGTGAGGCAGCTGAAGATGATTGAGCCAAGGACACTACCCTGAGGAACTCAGCAGAGATATCCTGCAGCTGAGATGATTGATTTCCAGCAACCACACCATCTTCCTTTGTGTCAGCTATGACCCCTGATCTTCATTTCCTTTGCTGCGGCTAATTGATGCCATATTTGGATAATGCTGCCTTGATGCCAAAGGAAGTCAATCTCATCTCACCTCTTGAGTTAACCAAGTCCTTAATGGGATCAGGAGCCATGTGGCTCTGGTGGAACTTAAATTGAGCATCAATGAGCAGGTTAGTGCTCATCAACTGCTTCTGTCACCTTGTTGACAGTTGACCGAAGACTGATGGGGCCATGTTGGATTTGTCCTAGAATGTGCTTTGCAACATTCCTGGGTGGTTGCCAGTGTTGTAACTGTATTGCAATGAATTGGCTAGGGGCATAACTAATTCTGGAGCACAAATCTTCAGTACTATTTCCATTATCAAGAATGGGAATATTTATGAAACTTTCTCCTTTGAGTTGTTTAATTTTCCACTGCCATTTAGAAATGGATGTGGCAAAACTACAGAACTGAACCATTGGTTGTAGGATTGCTTAACTCCAATACTGTTTGATTCCATGGTTTGGCATGCAGATAGCCCTGTGTTAGAGCTTCATCGAGTTGGTAGCTCACTTTTTGCTTTGCCTGCTTCTGGCAGGCTCTCCTGCTTTCTTCTTTGAACGAGAGTTGAACCCCAAGCTTGTTAGTAATGGTACGGTGAGGAAAATGTCAGGCTGTTGATAGGCCATTCTGTAGGACAGCTCTCTTAACTTTGGCACAAGCCCCAAGACATAAGTAAGGGGGACTTCGCAAGGTTGAGTTTGCTGGTAATTCCCAGCGCCAGACCTAATGCAGGGTAGTTCATCTGGCTTCATTCTTTTTTGACTTTATAGCTGTTTGATTAAATTAAATTAAATTAAATGACTTTCAAGGAGAGTCACTTAGAGTCAACCACTTTGCTGTGGGTTGGCATATCAAGAGGTCACCAGTCTTGTGAGAAAACATCTTTCAATTTTCATGTGAACAACTACAGAATAATAATGGTATTAAAAAGCTAAAATAACAGCAGTGAAATTCAAATTTTAAGGAAACTGTGGGGGATGTTTTGAACCACTCCCCCCATGCACCACGATGGGTTTAAGTTATCAAATGTACAAAAAGCCATGTGAATAATCCCACTTCTACTTCCACCACAGTGTGTTTGAGGATGTCCAAGTAAACGAAGATTATAGTACATGGATGTAATTCTGTTCCACAGATTTTGGCAGCCATTTGAATTCACTGCTTGTGATCCGGAAGGAGCAGGATACTTCCTCATGGACTTTCGAGCAAATCCTCTGCTGAGATCAGCCACCCCACGCTTCACAGAAGTGCAGTCTCCCCTCATTCTCCATCTCCAGGACTGTCATTGCAACTCTCTGACTGACCAGCAACTCACGACATTTTCTATTTGCCTGGGAAAATCTCCAATGGTCTCTAGCCATGGCTGTTTACTGTCAGTCTCCTCATCAGTAGTCTGTCAGTCTGGCCCAAAGCATGGCAGGAAACCCAGTAAACAGCTTCTAATGACACCCTCCCCGTCCTTAGCACTTCCAGGACTACCTTCCCCAGATCAGGATCTGATTATTTTATCTGGGGAAGTTCTTGTGGCTTTTCTGCCAGCTGAAGAGAAATGGAAGAGGAATATTGTAGCCCAGAATTTCTGTAGACTTCCCTGCTCCCAGATGCACTAAGAACCCCACTCTCTCCCTCCAGAGAGATTGTTTAATAGATCCCTCACTGTGACTTACCTGAGTTAATCTTTGGTGCTGGCCAGCAACATGCTGTTGCCTGAAAATCCATTCCTCTCAACTAATTACTGTTAGTGGGATGTCTGATTGGACACATGTCAATGATACAGAGGCTACGGCTGTGCTGAGATCTGTTGAGGTGGGGGAATGGGTGGGAGATGACACTAACCTTGCAGTTTCCCTACCAGAATTCCTTTCCAGTTACAAGTCAGGAATGGAGTTTCTTGCAGAATTTACCAGTCATATTTGGAAACTTGAGGCTAAGTACAGTATCACAAGTCTGTAAAAAGGGGATTATTATCAGTTTTGAGGCACATTGCTGGAATTCATTGTGGTAGAATTGAATAGGAGCTGGACCAACTCTATTTAGGATTGAAATTGCAAAAGCAGGAGTGCTTTCCTGACTCCACAGTATGCTGATTGCAAGTGACTCAGTTTTTTTTTCAAATGGACAAACAGTGTTCAGCAGCTTAGTCAGTTAATGGGGTCTGTGGTTCAACTCTGGATCAGTCTTTGGGTCCTTCAGTTGGAGCGGGGGTGGGGTTGTAATCTTATCTAATGCTCACAGATTTTTTGCCGTCTGTTCTATAGTATTTGCACATACATTCACCCTTGTTTTACTAAGTCACAGCCTCTGTTCCTTCGCAGGGAGTTGCTCAGTAAGATGCCTTACATTACAATGTGCGTTAAGGAGTCTCTGCGACTTTTCCCCCCTGTCCCAGGGATATCCAGGAGGCTGACCAAACCACTCACATTCTTTGATGGGAGGAAGATACCTGAAGGTTGCATTTATAAGTACATTTCTGACATTAGATAATTCTTATTAAATTGTGAACTGTTGAGATTTTACTGACAGCTATGAGTCTGCTTCCAAGCACCTGCAGAGAACACAATCTGAACAACATTGAGTATGACAGGTAATGATGCCATGTGCAAGCACAGTAATAGTCCTTTTTTCAAAATCATAACTTTATGAGACAAGCTTAGGAAAGAACATGCTTCTTAAAAGAGGACTTTGGAACTTTGAACTTACCCGCGTTTGTGGATTCTATAGCTTTATCATTGCCAAGTCTCTATGCTTTTTGCTTTTGCCTCCTATACTCTCATAATTGTTATCTGGCACACTGTAAGGTATCGACTTGGTTAACAGTTTATATCCTTCCTCTTTAAATGAAGGACAGTGAGTGGGTTCCTGAAATAAACCATAACCATAAACATTAGGAATAAAAGTAGACCTCTCTGCTGTTCGAGTCTGTTCCACAATTCAGCTAGATCATGACTGATATGATAATCCTCACTTCCCTTTTTCCTGTAACCCTTGATTCTCACTGATTTGAAAATCAGTCTATGTCAGCCTTGAATATACTTAATGACCCAGCCTCAACAGACCTCCGCACTTCCACATATTCACAACCCTCTGAGGGGAGAACTTGCTCCTCTCTGTCTAAATGTAAAACATCTTATTCTGAGATTATGCCCTCTGTTCCTATACTCTCCCACAAGGGGAAACAGCATTCCACATCTACACTATCAAGTGCACTAAGAACTGTGGTTTTAACAAACTCACCTCACATACTTCTATATTTCAACATCCACAGGCCTAATCTACTCAACCTCTCCTCATAACACAGTCCCTCCCATACCTGGTATCAGCCCAGTGAATTTCCTCTGGGCTGTCTCCAATGTCAATATATTTTTCCTCGGATGAGATGACCAAAACTGTACATAATATTCCAGCTGTGGTCTGACTAGACTTGTGCCTTGTGCCTTGAGTAATATCAACAAAACTTTGTACTTTTATACTCCATTCCCTTTGAAGTAAAGGTCAACATCCCGTGTACTTCCCAATTATCCACTGAACTTAGACCCTATCTTTTTGTGATTCTTGGATCTCCCAAATCCCTCGGTACTGCACCTTTTTCTATTTAAATAACATTAGCTTCCTTTATTTTTCCTGTCAAAGTGCATAATCTCATACTTCCCCACATTATATTCCATCTGCCAAGTTTTTTCCTCTCACTCAACCTGTCTATATACCCCTGCAGATCCTTTGTGTCATCTGCAAACTTGGCTATAGTATATTCACTGTTTTTTCCATCCAAGCATGAATATATATTGTAAATAATTGTGGCACCAGCGCTGATCCCTGTGGCACACCACTAGTTACAGGTTGCCATCCTGAAATGCACCCCCCCTTCTCCAAACCCTCTGTCTACTAATATTAGCTAATCCTCTATCCATGCCTGTATACTACTTTCCAACACCACTTGTCTCATTGTTTATCCCTTATCTCATTAAGTAGTCCATCTCATTAAGTAGTCCAATGCACGGTACCTTATCAAATACCTTCTGAACATTGAGATATATTACATCCACTGCTTCCCCCTTGTCTATGCTGCTAGCTGCTTCCGAATTCTAGTAGATTTGTCAAGTACGGTTTCCCCTTTTCGAAGCCATGCTGACCCTGCTGGATCACATTATGTATTTCTATATATATATTATGTATGCTGTGCTATTACATCCTTTAGAATAGATTCAAACATTTTCCCAGTAATAGATATTAAGCTAACTGGCCTATAGTTACCTATTCTTTTTTGTTTCCTTCACTTTTTGAATGAAGGTGTTACATTGTTACTTTCAAATACAGCATCCAGTAGACATACCCTCAGAATTGGATGGATGGCAGCCTCCAATTGAGATCAGACTGATGAGGGTCCTCTTGGCTTTCTCAGCTATGGCCGGGAGCTGCTTTCTAGCTGTTGCAGGGCCTGCTGACTCAGCAGGGGGCCAGTCTGATGCCAGGGAACTCCTGACAATACCAGCAATTGTCCCACATCTAGTTCTTTAATTGGCTCCCCAGCACTGTCGGGCAGGTAACCACTGGAGCATTAAATCCAGAGACCGATCATACAAACAAGTTTCAAACTCTGTTCCAGATCCTCCCTCCAAAGTCCCATCCATGAGACAGAAAATATTCTGCTCACAGTTTTGGATTCTGGAACCTTTAAAATAATAATAGTTTTCACTGCCTTGTTGAATAAACCTCACTGGAGAACAGATTACCAAATGCTAACCCAACTGTTTGTTGTGCTAATGATTTTGTTAGATTTGCAAACAAAGAACTGATAGGTTTTCTGACTGGTTTGCTGCTAATGCTTAGAGAATATTGATTATACTCCTATCAAACACAGTCACAAATAAAGAAGTTGTAAGGAAAACAGTAGATTTGGATAATCCATCAAGAGCTGCTGTGATCCTCTAGAGAAAGCAACTGATCGGTTCTGGAAAATGTGGTGGATAATTTGTTTAATTTAATGCCCTCCTCTCCAGTTTCCTTTATGCGTATGGAGAAATTTCACAGGGTTAATGGTCTGGCAGTTTCACCTCCCTGAAGAAATTGAACAACTTGTACAACCATGTATTGTGTTCCCCTAAGATACATGAGAGTATAGATTATATTCAGCTTGTTGTTGACTGCATGTCATGCCTGATTTATGTTCTTAACTTCAGAATTAATCATTGCTGTTTATCAGGGAAATTCTTTCAATCTAATTTGGAAACCTGAGTGGGCAGATTTTAATTGCCTGAAGAAAACCCAAGTCATTTTGAGGCTGATATATCATGTACATTGTAAGATTCCAATTTACATGCAGCAATAAGGCTAGTATCTATACTGTTCAGTGGAAGTCTCCAGTACGTATGGCAGAGGAGCAGTAATAGAGTGGTAGGTACACAGTGTTTCATTTCTGTTGCTGCATAATTTCCAATGTTTGGATTGAGTATTGGGACTCGATGTCAAACAGTACCAGGTCACTGTTAAATGCAGAATAATTTTCCCAGCATGTACCTTAGCTCAACTTCAGAGGATCATGCTCTACATTGGGCATTTTCCCCATACTTCAGCATGAGTATGCTAGTTTAATCCTAAATTAACAACGTAAACTTTGATCACATGCCAATGAAACAGAAATGTCTGACTAGCAAATTTTAGGTGTAATTTTAACCACAAAATGTAGATGAGAGTTGTATTTTAAAAATAGTTTAAATCTACCTCCAAATCAAGCTCTTGCTATTTTCAATATGACTGAGATGGTTTTCGTGTGGCAGAGAGAGGGAGCTGATGGCAAGAGGTGGCATTATTAGTGGATAATTGATGTGCTCCCAGGATGTAGATTCGGCCTAATATAATGAAGCAATATGCTTCAACTTTAAAAGTCTAAATTTCATCCTGGGTGGTTGATTTGACATGCCCCAGGAATCCTGGCAGTTAAAGGGGAGTGAGGACTGCTTTGAGCAGGAGGTAAATGTCTTTATAACGCCTGTTGGCTAGGAGGAGTAGTCAGACCTCCTCCCTGTCTACCAAGCTTACCTGCTTCACTTTGTGGCACTGAAGCTCCTTACTCTAAAACCAAAGGCCACACCCTCAGGATCAACTCAACCAGAGGAGAAACTGATTTGTATTTGTGTTCAAGCTACTGAATTGAAAGATGAAAATCTAATCCACTTTGCTATTTAATCCTTAAAATAAAGCTTTTAAAATAATATAGAGTACAACAGTTTTGCTAAGTTTGAAATTCTCCAGTGCTTTAACATCACTTTTGAAATGAGAACTTAATTAGAATTAGGTTTGTGTGCCTAACGCTCTTTTTTGCTCCTGTAATGAAGAATGGGATTAAGTTTGCCAGATGGAAGTGCTGGCTTGCTGCTTATTGTCTGCCTGTTCTGATTTTTGGATTGACCATTGTTTTTGATGGTCACTGATTTTGCTTGAAGCAGGACACAGGCTCATCATTGCGTACAATTCGGGGCCAAATGACCTATTAAGATCTGAGTATCACATTTGTATTAGCCTGCATTGTTGAGTGTTATTACCAGACATGGAGAAGAAGAAGCTATTTTGAGTTGATGTCAATGGCAGAGAAACGATGCACTTTAAAGGAGGTCCAAAAAACCAAAAGGTAGCAGTTTATCTGTGCATGATTATGAGACTGTTACTAATATTCATTTGCATTTCACAGGTTGCCTGGTTGGTGTAAGTGTCTACTGTATTCACAGGAACCCTATGATTTGGGATAATCCAGAGGTAATTTCCTCCTCCATAAGTAGAACGTGAAGATTCTCAATTAACTTTAAAATATGTACTCTTGCCTTCATATATTATCCCAATGTATCCATACTAGTGCCATTCTTTCATTTAATGAACCTACGACATAGCAAGCACACTTTAAATTTCAATATAAGTGTACTGCTAAAAGTACCTATTAGATTTTTTTTAAAATTCATTTATTGCAACGTCACATATTTAAGGGGCATACACACCAAAAGATGATATACAAGTGTAGTGAGATTATGTATTCTTCCTGCTCAATTTTCCTGATTCCCACTCCTTTCTTAGCTCTGCATTCTTCGTTTTCACCCAACTCCTCATTCGATATCTAGCATCTGTCTTTTATTGATCCTTGAGCAACCACTGGTTGGCCTTCCAATACTGCTCCAATTGAGGGCTTGATGTGGAGGAGCTGGTGTTGGACCGGGGTGGACAACATCAGAAGTCACATGACACTAGGTTGAAGTCCAACAGGTTTATTTGAAATTACAAGCTGTTGGAGCACTGTTCCTTAATCAGGTGAAGTGGAGGAAACCGCACAGGCACAAAATTTATATGCAGAGAGATAATGGCGAGAAAATTCCAGGTAATTAAGAATGTCAGAAGATAAATGCAAGTAGTGTGAGTGGACTGTTGACAAGTTGAATATCAAGTTTTTGCAGGGGATCAAAAGTGTCAAATGGTATGAGTAAAGTGTCAACAACTGAATGGCAAGTGAAGGAATGACCCATGATCCAATTAATAATTACACAAAGTCAGATATAGACATGGTGCTAGAGACAAACCAAATGGCCGGAATAACATAATAGGTGTAAGAATCGCAAGATGAGGGTCTAACCAAAATAACAAGTACTCCAAACCGTACAAACTGATTAAGGTAGAAAGATAATAACAAGTTACTTCTTCTCCAGCTTCCACCCCAACATGTTTAAGAAGCCATCCCCTATGGATAAGCCCTGTGTATGCCCAGGATCTGCTCAGACGAGGAGGAACACGACGGATACCTACGGGTGCTGAAAGACGCCCTCATAAGAACATGATATGATGCTCAACTCATCGATCACCAGTTCTGATGTGTCGCGGCGAAAAACCACAATGACCTCCTCAGAAGACAGACACTGGGCACGACTGATAGAGTACACTTTATGGTCTAGTACTTCCCCGGAGTGGAGAAACTGTGCCATGTTCATTGCAGCCTTCAACATGTCATCAGTGACAAGGAACATCTTGTCAAGGCCATTCCTACGCCTCCACTTTTCCCTTCAAACAGCTGCCTTACTTCAAAAAGACCTTCGTTCGCAGAAAACTACCCAGCCTTCAGGACAACATCAACCACAACACTATACAACCCTGCCACTGCAACCTCTGTAAGACCTGTCAGATTATCAACATAAATACTGCCATCACACATGGATAAACCACTGACCATGGTACATACTCATGTGACTCAGTCAACATTGTCTATCTCATACCCTGCAGGAAAGGATGCCCCAGGCATGGTGCATCAGTGAGACCATGCAGATGCTACGACAATGGCTGAATGGACATCGCACAACAATCACCAGGCAGGAGTGTTCTCTCCCAGTTGGGGAACTCTTCAGCAGTCAAGGACATTCAGCCTCTGATCTTTGGGTAAGCATCCTCCAAGGTGACCTTTGAGATACACAACAACGCAGAATCGCCAAGCAAAAATTGATAGCCAAGTTCCGTTCCCATGATCTTGGGTACATGTCATGCTACATGTAACCCCACCATACTGTTCTGTAAAATCTTCCTTACTGTTCTGTTTTGACACCATCGCCTTGATAACTTATTATCTCCCTACCTTAATTAGTTTGTACAGTTTTGGATTACTTTTTACTTTGGTTAGATCCTCGTCATGCGATTCTTACACTTATCATGTGTAAGCCATTTGGTTTGTCTCCAGCACCGTCCTATTTCTGAATTTGTGTAATTATTAATCGGATCATAGGTCATCCCTTCACTTGCTGTTCAGCTGTTTACATTTTACTCACACTGTTTTACATCACCTGCAAAGATTTGTTTTTCAGCCTGTTGACACTATTCACACTATTTATTTAGCCTCTGATCTCTCTGCGTATAACTTCTGTGCCTGTGCACTTCCCTCCACTTCATCTGACGAAGGAACAGCACTCTAAAAGCTTGTGATTTTGAATAAACCTGTCAGACCATAACCCGGTGTCGTGTGGCTTCTGACTTTATCCATCTGAAGACTGAATTTGGTCTCAGTTGCCCAACTGTAGTGCAATAGGGGTTTAAATAACTGTAGATGCTGGAATGTGTACTGAAATCAAAAAATGCTGGAAATCACAGTGGGTCAGAATGCTGCATGATTTACTATGATTTTCAGTGTTTTTTGTTTGTTTTCAGTAGTGCAATGTTCTCACTCAGTATAAAGTAATTAATATTGATATGAATTGGCCCCAGTCATGGATAGGATGCTGAGTTTCTTGCCTGTTGTCTTTTGAGATGAATTCCATGTTCAGTTCATGTCTGAATATCTTAATTTTTTGTTAGAATCCAAAATCTGTTCGACCATAGCTGGTATGATAATAATTTTGCTACTGCAATACTTGTTTGAACCAGCACCTGACAAGTGAATTCTTTGCAGATCTGATAGATAAGTGTGTATTTGAAATCTCATTAATCATATATTCCGGAACACTACGGATTGATAATACTTTGTTTTTTTTATAGGTTTTTGACCCTTTAAGATTTTCCCCTGAAAATTCAGCAAACAGACACACACATGCCTTCATACCTTTCTCTGCTGGACCAAGGTAGCAACATGTGTCAAATATTAGTGAAATTAGAACCGGTGATTGTTAATTTATTGCTGTTCCTTGCAACGTTATTTTTTTTTAATAAAGGCCTGGCTTATAGTTTATCAAATGGGTGGGTTCCAGTTCACTGGAGCAATTCCAAATTCAGTGTTAATCTTGACTAACACTTGATATTGGGAGTTACTGCACAAAGATCAATTTTCAAAGGCAAATAAAACTGTACCATGGTCTGGTTGTTCTGGGAGTTAATACCTCCCACACTAAGATCCGTTGTTTAAAATTGTAGGCTCCCTATAAGAGTTGCAAAACTACATTTTCCGTTGTGCAGATTAGAATTCAGGAAGCTTTCTTACAACTTAGTCATGTATCTATGTCACTGGTGCTGCCAACTCTGTAATCAGAACATGGGGGAACAAGGTGTGGGGTTGTATGCAACTTAACAGTGTGGTACTGCCATAATCTCTGTTGACAGTGTTCATGACATTTGCAGAAATTTCTTGTAAAACAGGTTGCTTTCTTCGGCTCTTTGTTATGTGCTACCTTTTCTAACAACCACAGTACACAAATTCTAAAAAGTGTTTAATAAATTGGAAAGTTACAACTTGAGGAGCAAATGCATATATATTTAAAACAGGGGTTTTATAGAAAGTCAATCACAGGTTCATGAGATGAGGTTAGAAAAGGAAACTATATTTTACTGAGTAAGTTCATAACAGTAAACATTGTAGTCTTCCACAGCTGGATTCTTTCAGGTTTACTTGTTTTATTTGCATGTTATGCTTAAAAAGTGCCAGTGAGAGACAATTAGGAGATGAGGTTTGGTAGGAGACTCTATCCAGCAGAGTGGATAAGGCCATTCAATTTTTGACAATAGCCCTATTTATGTATTCCCACAGAGGAATTTCATATAATTGAAGAGCTCAATTTACACAAATTTCTCTCCTCAATTTACATTTGACTGGTAGATTGAATGTGTTAAACTCCGGAATAAAGACTGAGGCAAACATAGAAGCAGTCAAGGGCAAAACATGGTAAGATTTCAGGTAGAAGTTGTGTATAGCTCTTGGAGCTAAAGGCATCAAAGGATATGGGGGATAAGTAGGAACAAGCTATTGTGTTGGTCGTTAGCCATGATCATAATGTATGTCAGAGCAGGCTTGAGGGGCTGAATGACCTATGTCATGAAATATGTTGGTACTTTTTTTATATTTAGGATTCTGTAGTGATCCAACAAAATACATTTCTGATCCAAAAGATTTCTCATGATGTTGGATTCAAGACTTGCCTTTTCTTTTGTAGGAATTGCATTGGTCAGCACTTTGCCATGAATGAAATGAAGGTCGCTGTCGCGCTGATTATTAATCGATTTGAACTGGAAATCGATGAGTCAAAACCACCACTTAAAATACCTCAGCTGGTCCTTCGATCCAAAAATGGGATATACCTGAGGATTAAAAAACTGCAATAATGTCAGCCTGCAAGAATAACTGAATTTAGAAAAATAAGAAAGTAATAACATCAAAATCAGATGAATCAATCTGTAAGTGAGATAACTATAGCAATATTGCTGTGGCAGTAAAGATTATTTAAAAAAAAACACAGCAGAACCTGCATTGAAGGAGTTTATTACCAGTCCCTGCAGTATCATTTCAATAACATTTTCAGGGTGAAATCTCAGCCAAGGCTCTCATCATCTGGGAAAATGCAAGTTTTACAATCGCTTTTGATTCCCGCAATCATATTTATGCCCAATTTGCCATATATCTCCCATAGCATCTGGTGTTCATTATGAATTGTTTTAATTTGTTTCTATCTATTGTTGTTGATGAATATCCTGGTAAACTTGATAGCCAGACCGCCTCATACAATTGATGTGTAATGATATCTACACTTATCAATTAACCTAATTTGATTTAAATATTTTCACGTAATTAAGCAATGAGAGTAAATTACTAGGAGGGGCAGCACCTCAATTATCACCTAAGTTAGTTCACTGGTTTATGAACAAAAATTGATTTTGTTTGAATAATTCTATTTCATTGGAAATGCAATAAGGGTATAACAAAGTGGAACTATTATTACAGATAACAGATGGGAAGAACATTTAACCAACATTACTGACAGCAATTTCTTTCTTCAATTGCAACTGCCACATTTTGCCAATATGGACTGAAATGCAATGTGAATCCGTCGATCGTAGGAGGATGGGGCAGAATGAGTGTTTACCAATGGTCATCATTATTGTATGATTAAAGAAAGTTTACAGGTCTTTTTTCACCCACGTAGCTCAATCTGTAATTATATTTAGCACATAGTAATAGCATATGTCGTGTCTTGTTGTTTGAAACTAAACAAGCGTTCCCAGTTCTCTGGACTTCAATAATGCCTGTGGTTCCAATAGCTCCCTTCAGCAGCTTCATTACATGTCACTGAGTTTTCCCCTGGACTTCTTAATCTATTTTATCTCAGTCCCCGAACAAAAAAGGAAATTGGGAATTTGCAGCAACAGACAGAATGATCAAGC